GAAAGGCCACATGCAGTCACGACTGAGTTTTGCCAAAACGCACCTTGAAGATTCTGAGGCAGATGAGACTAAAATTTAATTATTTGGCCTCAACACCAAACGATATTTCTGTCGGAAATCCACTACAGCTCACCATCCAAATAACAGCATTCCTACAGTAAAGCATGGAGGTGGTAATATCCTGTTATGAGGCTGTTTCTCTGCAGCATGGACTGGAGCACTTTTCAGGATAGAAGGAAAAATGGATGGGGAAAAATACCGTCAAATTCTTGAGGAAAATCTGCTGCTCCTGCCAGAAAGTTGTCAATGGGAAGAAGATTTACCTTCCAACATGACAATGACCCAAAGCACACAGCAAAACTGACCACACAGTGGTTGAAGGAGAAAAAGGTGAATGTCCTTGCATGACCTAGTCAGAGCCCAGACTTAAACCCCATTGAAAATCCGTGGAATGACTTGAAGACTGCAGTCCACAAATGCTCACCATCAAATTGAACTGAACCTGAGCAGTTCTGCAAAGAAGAGTGGACAAATATGGCAAAGTCTGGATGTGCAAAGTTAGTAGAGACAAATCCCAACAGACTAAAGGCTGTAATTAAAGCAAAAGGAGGTTCAACAAAATACTGACTCAAGGGGGGTGATCCTTTTCCCAACTCTGCTTTTTATTTATTTTATTTTTTTTCTGACATGTTGGTATTATATCTTTCACTTGGATGTTATAAGTTGCACTGAGTAAATACAGCTGGATAAAACAAAAACTGTGTCCGTCTTCATTTCAGGCTGCAAAGCAACCAAATGTGACTATTTTAAAAGGAGGCGATTCTTTTCTATACCCACTGTTCATTTCATTTACTGGTTTGATAGTTTTTAACCTCAGTCAAATGGTTTTTATTCTTTTTATTTCATTATTTGTTGTGTAAATAAATAGACAAAATAATCAGATGAGTCTTCTTCCTCCAGTTGTCAACTTCTCTCCACAGATGGCCATTAGCCTCTTGAGCAGCTGCTCCCTCTGCTCTACAGAGACCAACTCCCCACATCTCCCGTACACCTCCACACCTGAGCTCTCCCTCACACAACTGACAGTATGACAATAGCTCCTTTATAATAAACCACTAATTTTAGCCATTCACAGGCTGAAATCAGGCTCTGGGGTTCCCAGAAAGGCTTTTGCCATACCCATAAGTCAGAATGAGAGGAAAACACAAAGGCTTTTCTAACACGTTGTTTTCTTTCTGAAAGTTCTAAGAGTGGTTGATCATCCAATTTAAACTTGGTCTTTTGAGTCATATTTTGATTCTGTAAAACAGCATGACAGTGTACGAGAACTGTGTGTTGATCAGCCCAGTGTCACAGCAGTTTTATGACCTCGGCTAGAAAGTAGTAGTTATAAAAGTCTTCAATTCAATTCAGTTCAATTCACATTTATTTGTATAGCGCTTTTCATGAAGCACATCGTTGCGAAGCAGCTTCACAGAAAATGAAAGTTTCTACATTACAATTAAGAGTAGTTTATCAGTGGTGACTATGTCAAGGTGATATTTATATGGCAGAAATGTCTAACTTTCTTTCACCATGTAACATTGCTTGAATGGACCTTTATATCATAAGGTTGTGTGGAAAATAGTGGAAGTTTTGAGAACTTCAGATTACACAGACAGCCACCAGTTGACCTCGTTGATATGTATAATAAATAAGAGCAACTTTTATTTTTTCATTCTTGTTTTTGATGCACTGTAAAATTATTTTTCATAGCTGTAAATAAAACAAAGATCACGTTTTGCAAAAAAGTTTCAGTCTTACTACTTTAATTCAGTGTGTTACTTGCAGTTTCTTTGTAATTATTTGTGAAATTTGCTAGCAGTTTCTGAGTGAAAATTGTTTCGAAGTATTTTGTTTTTCTTTTGACAAAGTACTGCTTTAGATTGTAATGGCTTCAAATTTAATGTCTCTAATTTAGAACAGTGATTTTTAAGTGTGTTGACATGTTAATTTCCAGCATTTTTCTATTTAGGGCTTGTCAACCACCCAGGCTTATAAAATTTTAATATTCCTTGTACTTTTTTCTATGAAAAAGTCATTACAGCATTATCAGTATTTGAACATTTTTATTTAGAAACAGTCACTTTTAGTTGTTTATGCTTACAGAACATCTACACAAGAACTGTGTTGTTTTGAAAACAACCTGCTCTAGGATGCACACATGGATGCTTCAGAGCCTTAATTACATGTATGCATGTGTTATGCCTGTCATTTTAGAGATAAAGCAAGATGAGAAACAAGCAACTTAAAAAAAAAGAAGTGATTTCTTTCTCAGAAGGCAGGAGTGCACACTTCATATGTTCTCCCACACCATTGGCTTTTGCACACTGTGAGGGTTGTCTTTGAGACATCATCAGCATGGGACTAGCACCATCCAGAATGCCAATCTTCCCCTCCGCTCGGTGATCATTGGGTTTTCGGGTGGCTAACACAATGAGAGAGTGCTGGTCAGTGTGGAGCTGATGCAAAGTCGTAGAACTCTGCTCTATAAGGAACAGGAACTTAAATGATCGGTTTGCCGGTTCCCCAGGAACATGCTGTGTCTGAACGAAAGACCTCCACTAGGCCTGATGGTGACCACTCAATGCCAGTCCAATTTCTAATTCTGTAAAGCCTTAAGTCCCCACAGAGCCTCACTTTCAAAAAATCAAACCTGCTGTGTGGCTGATACAGATTTCCAGGCCCTTGGCATGATACATTACTGTGTCTATTGTGATCAGCATGTTTTTCCCGTGTCAATTAGCTTCTGGAAAGCTTTCCTAGCAGACTCCCCATGAGGAGGCATGCTGAAGGACTAGTGCAAAACCTTGCCTCTCCTATTTCTTTCTTTTTTCCTTCTTCCTTATCTTCTCCTTCCATACTTTCTCCATTCTTTCTGTACAGTAACTGCCTAGCTTGTGCTTCATCCGTTCTATCTATCTATCTATCTATCTATCTATCTATCTATCTGTCCTCTAAAAAATGCTGGGTTAAATATAACCCAGCGCTGGGTTAAAAAGGGACAAACCCAGCTATTGGGTTGTTTTGAACACAACCGCTGGGTCAAAACAACATACACGGATAATATTCTGAATGAATGAGCGAACAAAAATGTTACAATTATCCCTTCCTTATTCTTTTTTCTGGATTGGCTCTGTTTGACCATACATCCCTATTTATCTGTTTCTTCCTAGTTTTTTGGAATAGATTTGAAATTCTTATCTTAATTCATATTTGTCTGTTCTACAGCTGAACCCTTTATCTTGTCACGATTTGTGTCGCCCTGCAGAACTGAAGCATGAGATTCTGGTGTGGAGGCAGACAGCCCATCGCATTAACCCTGCCAGCCGAGAGGAGACTGCCGTCAAGTGTCTTCTCATGCAGAAGGTGCTCAATCTGGAAAGCCTCCTGCGCAAGAAGCTCAAGACCTTCCAGAGGTGCCACACTCATGCTCAATCCATTCTTTTCTTTGTCTGTCTGGGTAAAATACAAGCAGTCTGTCTACACCGTGCATGGTGTTTGAAATCATGGATGTATGTTGAATATAAGCGTATTTTTGTGCTTTGTTCTTGTTTTATTGGCTGGTTTTTGGACGTTTTTCACTTGTGTTGTCTAAATGTCATAATGGTGGAAACAACTGAAAAACAACAAATTAGGCTATACATAATGCATTATCAAGCCTTCTTTTACTATTTTGATATTGCATGTAATATGAGTGTCTTTCTTGGTATGAGTTCACTTGAAAACACCCTATTAGGGCCAAAATATATCCATTCCCACTGCATGACACCTGTTGTGTCTGACGGTAGCACATACCCAGAAGCCCAGGATGATAAATGAGCAATAATTAACCTGTAGAAAAGTAGGTAATTGTTCTCAATTGTGTCGGCTCTCTAAAGCTCTTGTAGAGAGCTGAAATTTTAATCATGCAGAATAATTTTGTTCTCAAAAGTAGCCTGTTTTTTTTTTGGTATTATTATAAATGCTTCTTTTAACTAAAGAAATTCGATTAGTTATGCTTGTGGTTTTGTGGATCTTGTGGTTTGCTTTGATGACAGATAGAATAATCACAAAAGCCATTTACAGCCTCACATGCTGAGTAGAAAAGGTTTGGGGTGACCACATGAAATCACCACTCCTACTCATTTGCAGGTGTCCATGCTGGCTGAAAGGATGTATTAACACAGTTCATTCTGTTTTATTCCTTTATTTTCACAGGCAAATATCTCAGGAAGACAAAAACTGGGAACACAATATTCAAGAGCTGCAGAAAAAGGTAAAACAAAGCTGCATAAGGATGACTCTGGTTGATTAAGTGATGTACCTTTCTGCTAATCCTGCCTTATCTTTCCGATGTTATCTTATTATATGATAAGAAACTTCAACAATTTCTCAAATATTTTGGCTTCAGGTCCCTGATAGTATTATTATAATAATTATTATTATTATTTAATAATAAACAATTTAATGATTTATTTTTTAAATAATTTATTAATATATTAATTAATTAATTGATATGGTCAATTTAATAAATTTATTTATTTGCCTTTTTTTTTTCGTTGTACAAAAATAAACTAAATTGTTAAATATCACATAATGTTACGATGAGCTGACACTAAATAGAAAAGTTGACAATTTTGTAATTGTATAAACTGCAAAAGTATTTACGTTTACATTTATTTATTTAGCAGATGGTTTTATTCAAAGTGACTTACAAATGAGGCAGTGTTTATAGTTTGGTTTCTAAAAATAAATTGAAATTTCATGGTTTTATTCACTTGGCAGACAATAATTCACTACAAAATTCACATTGTGGTTGGCACACACCATATTTAGCCTTGTTGCAGTTGAATCTGCATGTAATATACTCTGGCTTGTGTTTTTGATAAAATACCATTTATTGGAGATTAATTGGACGCATGACCTTTGACATCAACAAACAAAAGATATGTTTCTCCTACGTTGTAAATGTTAACCTGTAAAGTTAACTATACTGTGTGTACTGTTATATGATTAACATTGTAATATTTGCAATTTTGCATAATTGTTTTCACTGCTATAAGTGTTCCTATAAGAATAGACCTGCGGATTGCAACTCATTATTATTTGTTCATAATAATAATGATAAATAATGATTTAATTATAAATAAATAATATATTAATATAATAATTAATTAATTGATATGGTCACAAAAATACAACAAAATTGTTATCACATAATATTACTATGAGCTGATGCTAAATAGAAAAATTGACAATTTTGTAATTGTATAAACAGCAGAAGTGTTAAGGTTTACGTTTATTCATTTAGCAGATAATTTTTTATCCAAAATGACATAGTGATAATAGTTTGAAAAAAAAAAAAAAATATATATATATATAAAATATAGTAATTATAGTTTGGTTTCTAAATATCAATTGAACTATACTGTGTACAGTAACACTGTTTAGAGGGCATAATATGTATTTGCCATGTTTCTTTCTGTCCTGTATCTGAACATGTCTTTCATGGTCTTTTACAGCACAGAATAACTGATAAAATCCTCCTGGTCAAGTGTCTGACTGTCCTTGGTGTGGTCATCTTTATGTTCTTCCTGAACTCCTTTGTTCCTGCCATACATCTGGATCTGGGTAAGCAAGAGACAAACATTTGTGTTAAACACAAATAATCAGGATTCATCTGTTTCTATTGCTGAACTGGCCCTGCTGTTTACATGCCTCACTGTATAATTATGATGGCTTGTTTCCTCTCTGTTTGAGCAGAGGAAATGGAATCACAAGAATATCTCGCTGTTTTTGAAATGATAAAAAATGTGCCAGTTCCTCGACCACGGAGCAAACATTTAATTTTATGCATTCTATTAGGGTTCGTAGAATAAAATTAGAGAAACAAATGCTATTCTAGTAAAGCTGGACAATTTCTCCCATGATCTAATTGGTGTGTGTATGAACCTGTCAATGTGTTGATGTCGTAATAGTTTGCAGCTGGGCTTTAAATGCAGAAAAAGACACAAATGCAAAACCACAACAATGGAGTAGCGTGAGATTAAATAAGACAGCTAGTATTACTCACCCCAAAATTAGTCTTTTGTTTCTGTTTAGCCTTCCTTTTTGTTCTAGCTTTGTCGAACTGGTTTATGGACGTGTTTATTATACAGCGAATGAGAAGTCAATTACAGATGGAAATGAGATCGAGAACTTCACCAAACACATTAGTGAGAACGAGTTGGTCAGTCAGAGAAGGCCAGCCACACAGCTCACTTACTGTAGGTTGTTGTGTTGTTGGGGTCTGATTGTGTATTGATAATCAGTTCTCATTTGTGGACAGGTTTATCTTGTGGAAAGATAACACATGAATATTAGTTTCTCTTCATTCATACAAAATCATGTATTTTTTCCTTTCCACAGCTGTGTACATAATTAATCGGCAATGATCGACAAAATAATCACTGTACATTACCATTTTGAAAAAACGGTGTGGTTCTGCTTTCAAATTTCTTTTCAGTGCCTCGTTCTGATCAAAACCAGGGTCGGACAGCACGGGCTGCAAATGACTGTCATTAGACTTAGACACCATCATCACCATCATCACCACTCCATTTGACCTTTGATATTGATTATTTAATCATGGCCGAGGATACAGTGCACCTGCTGGAGGGCAATGAAGCACACAGGAACTGACTTACTGGTGAACATTTAGCACATTTATGTGAACAATGCTAGCAGTAACAGTGCGTCTGGGAGTTTTCTTGATTTTTAGGTCACTGAAAAGCTGTTAGAAGAAAAAAAATAGGCTCTGAAAGGTCATTTCTATTGGTCCATCAAAACATTTCACATATAGGTCATAATGGAATTTCAAGGAAATATCAATAATTTTCTCAGTGTGAGAATTTACTCTAAAAGTAAAGATATTTTCATGCTTAAAAAATCCAAAGAGCTCATAGAAAACAACAACCAACATTTGATTTTAGAAACTTGTTGTATTCATTTTTTGATGTAGTTAAAATTCAACAGTTTTTCTTGAAGTTGCTGATTGATTTGGTAGTTTTCCTGAAATATACTGACACCTAGTGGCATAGATACAGATTTAGAATAAAGCAAAAATGTTCATTAAGCATTATAAAAATACCCTATTCAAATAGAAAGCCATGATTAATTTATTCCACAAGTGAAAGTGTTTGGTAAAAGGAATTTTTGAGTGAAAACGAGAAGTATCTGGCTGGTCATGTGATCTCAACATTTCAACCCACATGATGCGATGCTCCATGTACTGTAAATTAAGCAGCCTTATTATCTTTATTATTATGGATATGTCTTTGAGTCATGAGTCTTTATCTCATGTGAATGTATGTTTTAAACCATTATCTTTTAAAGTCCCCCTGTAGTCAAATATTTTATCCCTTAAAACGTATCTTTGATCATCAAAATTACATATTTAAATGTCTTTTCTAATGAAAATAATTTTCTCATGCCTTAAAATAGCTTGAATGTAACTCAACACCCTTGACTCATTTACTATACGCTGATCTATGAATATGCAAATTAGTCCCGCCTCCATTCAGTCACACCAGCCAGCGCCTCCTGATCCACTGAACTGTAATAAACGCAAAACAATGGCATACATGGATAATGACTGTAATCATTTAGTTCCTTTTTAAATTATTATATTTATTAAAGTCCCCCTGTAGTCAAATATTTTATCCCTTAAAACGTATCTTTGATCATCAAAATTACATATTTAAATGTCTTTTCTAATGAAAATAATTTTCTCATGCCTTAAAATAGCTTGAATGTAACTCAACACCCTTGACTCATTTACTATACGCTGATCTATGAATATGCAAATTAGTCCCGCCTCCATTCAGTCACACCAGCCAGCGCCTCCTGATCCACTGAACTGTAATAAACGCAAAACAATGGCATACATGGATAATGACTGATAAAGTGGCTGACTCTTAACTTTTATAAAGAATATCTCTTTGGATTTGAGACTTCAGTCTTTGCAACTTTACAGATCTTCTTTATGCACCAAGAGCTTGTAACACTCCAAAGAGAAAGGAAAAATTGAAATCGCATCATATGACCCCTTTAATTAAAGTTACTTACTTGACGATGCTGTGTCCTAAAATGCCTTGAAGACTCGAATGCAGCCGTTTGTGATTCTTAATTCGCGCCCGCGAGCATACGCGTGTGAAGTGCAGACGCCGATGTGGGAGAGGTGGGTCTGACTCCGGGCTACTTTTATACTGTTGCCACAGGTTATAATGCAAGTTAGCAGTTCTAAATTCACATTAAACCACAGCTTCTTGGGTTTTTTGCTCTAATTTATTTTTGGTTTTGCGCTGGTATTGATATATTTTGCATGCTAGTGATAGGAATCGATCCCTTGACGTGATTAGTTATTGGATTTGTGACGTAGCAAACCGAGGACTGTTTCAAACTGCATTTCTGGGACTGCCATTGGGAAACTACAGTTTTAAAGGGGTCATATAATGCTACATGCACTTTTACAAGTTGTTTGAACTGAAATGTGTGTTTGCAGTGTGTGTACACAACCACCCTAAAATTATAAAAATCCATCGTGTTTTTTTGTTAATCTACTAAAATCTTTACCCTTTTCTCAAATTGAGCCGATCTCAGATGCCTGTCTGTGTGACGTCCATAGACTGTAATAAAAGATGGATCCTATTCCTTTATCTATAGAAAAGTGAAGCCAAAGCATCTCAGTATGGCCGCTGCCA